CCCCGAATCCTGCAATCCAAGCTCCTCTCTTGTTTTGTTTTTTGTTTATTTGTTTTTTTGTAATCTAGGACGTMTTCTACATTAAGTAATTTGCTCGATCTGGCTCGTGATTTGCCATAATTTATCCTCTTACGAACTATGTTTTTTCGGATTAAGAGTTTTTGACGTCTCTGTGCGGTGTTAGGGCTATCACAACGCTTGAAGAAGCAGGATTTTTGTACCTTTAGGTTTTTTTATTTTTTATTATTGTTTCTTTATTTCGAATCCTTGATGAAAAAGTATGAGATACGCTTGGTGCTGCTACTGGTTAAATTGCTTTTTTAATTTTTTTTCCTGTTATTTATTTGGAAATAATCTTTTGCAGTAGCAATTTCCAATTTCCTGTGCATTAGGACAATGCACATTTTCTCGTAGGTCGCAGTTAGTCATACTCTTCTTTTGAGTAGCAGGCAATTAGAGTTGCAGATGAAAAGCCCAACTTCTGGAGAATGTGTGGAAATTTGAATTTAGACACTGGGCAAGATGGACTATGGATCATGATTCTGATGCGGGTGTACGAAATTTGAATTTAGAGATGGTAGGCGATGAATGCTTGGTTCGTTGTAGGGGAAGAGCCGAAGAGGGAAAGAGGGAGGAGATGAGAGGGAAGAAGAGGGAGGGAGAATGCCACCTCATCATCTAGTCACCAGAAAAATAATATTAAGTTAATATATTTGGCCTAGTTAGCAAGTATAATCATCAACTAAACCTCCACATCAACTTTTTGTGAATCAACTAATGGTCGGTGGACATTTGCAACCATCTCTTAAACCTCATGACCAAAAATGTCTCTTTTGAAACTTCAGGACCAAATAGACATCAACTTCAAAATCAAATGTGTATTTTGTCAAAAAAAAAAGAAAAAAGAAAAATCTATGAAAGCGACAGAGTTCCACTTCCTTATTTTTTTAGGCTTCATGTGTCTCACATTGCCCTATTTCTATAAATAGTTTGAAACGTACCTGAGTTTTCCAATTCTTTTAAAAACYATCTTACTTTACTTTTTCAAAAAGTCCCTTTTCGTCCCCTCAAATGCCAATGCCAATGCCACTCCATTATTGTTTACAACTTGAGGGGCACSTAAGTTCCATTACTCCACTCTCCCTCACGAATTCACAGTCACTTCATCCACTCCATATAGAGTTAGCATCAACACTTGTCTCTTTTAGTACCCTCAATTCTTCCATTTCCAAATGATTCCCTTTAAATTCTCAGTATCCCATTACGGATTTCATTCAACTCTTTTACAATGTGATCAAATACAATTATTTGCAGCCTAACAAAAGTAATAGGCCTAATGGCATTGCAACGAGTTAGATTTCTATCATTGTTTCTCTCGAACCAAAATTTTTGTTGCTAARGAAATATTTGGAAACCTTGATATGCTAAAAGCCCAAAACATAGGCCTATCTTTTATTGTAGCTTCCCATTAATTGARTCTAGCAACGAATGACGTAATCTTGCGATTTTCCATGTTCCTTGTGGCACCCGTTCACTTTACACAACTTTAGTTAACCTAAGTCTCAAAGTTGAGTTGAAATCCATTTGTGTGCCTTTTTGAGTTGATAATTGAAGTTTCTTGTACTAATATGCTGTCTTCATACCTTTCCTTCACATTCTTRCTATTGAGAGTGTATTTACCTCTCGTCTCTATTTTTGTTTCCTTTTTTTGTCAAATTCCATCAAACAATTAACACTGGTTATCAGTCATCAATTAAAGTAGTCTATGATTAGAAATTGCTCATTATTTCCAAACCTTGTTTGTTTTTTGTAAGATTATTTCCAAACCTTGTTAGGAGCTCAAAATGAGTCAAGCTAAATAAAAGCTTGATGTGAAGCACTGGGGTTAGCAAACTCAATTTGTATGTTATGTTTATGTAATTAGAAGCCATTTACTTTGCTTTGTCAGATCGAAGTTACAAGGATACCTTTTTTTTGAATGATTCCATCTTTTTTGGGAAATTCTGTTATAGGTTCGGGATTTTCTTATAGGCTCATGATTTTGTTAGCACGCCATATGTTTGTGAGATATTTTCTACTGTAGAGAAGAAAATTGAGAATTCTATTCTCACATCTAAAGTCTTTTGTTATCGTCAGATTAGGGATCTTATTAATATATTAGCTGCAAAGTAATCCTTGCCATCTTTCTCTATTCTTAACTAGGATCCAAGATCTAATATACGGCTAGCGAATGTGATTTGGAGCTCAAGATTTTTTCTTTCAGATAAGATTATTTGTTTCAAACACCTAAAAAGTCTCTTTCACAACTATAGCTTTTCCGCCCTTTTATGCAGCTGGAAAAGCTTCTTTTAATCCCTCTTATGGAATTTTTTTGTAATCCCACTTATGGGCCACTTTTGTAATTTCACTCATTAATGAAATTGTTTCTTTACCAAAAAAAAAAAAAACAAAAAAGACACCTAAAAAGTGTACAAAGTATCAATGTGAATTGGTTTATTTTATAATGCAATTAGAAAATACTGAGCTTCTGTTTCCACTGCTATCTTCAACAATGTCATGTTTTGCTAGAGTTGGACTAAGCCCCAAATAATTTATTTTCTGGTGAGGAGTGGCAACTAAGTACTAATGGAGCTAGATTTTTGCACATATATTTATTTATTTGTAAGCTTATGCTTAGTCAACTATCATGTTTTACTTGGGTTTTTGTATTATGTCTGCTTAAAGACGTTGTTGTTGATAGAATTTGATGCTTTTTTCTTAGATTGAAGGACATAACCTTGGTGAAGTACATGTTCTATAAGATGGTCCATGATGCATTGGCTGATGAACTTCACTTTGGATTGCATGAACTTTATATCAAGGAATTGACTCCCAAGAAACTGAAGGAAAATGTTCCTTCAGATTTGACTACGAGTATGCATTTTCAGTTATCCTTTGCTATCATTTGAAGGATTTAAGCATTTGGACTCCAATTTGAGTGGTCAAAATTTTTTTTAATAATTATTTTTGGGTTAAAAATAGTCTAAATAATGCATTATATTTAGGTTTTGAAGAAGCTTAGAGAAGAAAATRAAATAAATTTGGGTTTTTAATAGATTTAAGAATTTTTAATTTCAACAAAAAAAGTCAGTTTGAGCTCATGATTTTTTCTTAGTTTAAGAAGGCTTCCAATTGTTTGGTTTGAGTTTAAAGCTTTTGCTTTATTCAAATTTGATGATTGATAATTTATACTAAAGATATCAAGGAAAAAAAAGGCTGATGAGAATTATATTTTCAAAAGGAAATTGCTATATGCTATGAGTTGAACAGCTTAGGAACACTGTGAACTCTCTTTCCTAAATGATATAAATTAGCAATAGTCTTGTCTTAGTTCACACTCAACTTATGAAGGTGTGAGAAGAGATGGTGGATTTTCTAATTTTTCCTAATAGATATTATGTGAATGGTGACATGGATTGTAAGTGTTTMTTTCTTGAAGTTGCAGATTTAGAAACTATTTGAATCTGGTCAATTTGTTACACGGACTGCCCATGTAGAAAGTTCACTTTTTTCAATACTAACTTTTGCAAATTTGATTGACAGCTCGATGGAACATTGTGTTATAATCAAACCTGATTTTTGTAGTGTTGAGAACTTGAGAGTACTGGTGAAGGTACAAGTGAAGGAAGATATCAATTCTCAAAATGTACGTACAGTCATTGCTTCACTATTGCAATTTTTGCATCTCACATGGATTTATTTTTAGTTATTTGAGGTTTAGCGTTACTTGATTTTTGAGTAAGGATTATTATGATTCTTAGTTTATGGTTGCCATGAGATTTTCTTTTTCTTACTCGTTCCTATTTTTGTATTGTTTGATCTGTTTCTGTGGATGTTTTGATTTCTTATATCCCTGTCAAAGACTCTTTTGTGGGTTTTTTCCAATGAGAAAATAAATTAGAGGCATATTTATCTTGTAATACTAGTCTAATTGGTAAAGTGACATGTTGGGATTCAACTTATCTTGGGTTTGAGTTCCCTCTCTACTTGTAACTTTACAATGAAAACAATGTAGTGTTATTATGTTAATTTTGCTAAAAATATAAAAAAAATGAGTGTGAAAATTAAGAATTATTAGAGCATAAGTACAATGAAATTACCTTTCTATGTCAGAAAAGAAAAGTCATAGTAATATTGTAATAATAGTAAAAGCATGACAGAGAAATATTCTCATGACAAAGAAATTCAAGCTATAATTAGTTCCTCGATTAAAAGGTTTCTTGATTGTCACCATTAACTGTATAAGAGAAGAGAGACACAAAGACTCAAACTTACATTAATATTCCTATGACAAAGAAATTCAAGCTATAATTAGTTCCTCAATTAAAAGGTTTCTTGATTGTMACTATTAGCTGTATAAGAGAAGAGAGACACAAAGACTCAAACTTGCAATGAAATGTAYCTTCTTCTCTAGGATCTAGATCTACCAATATGTTATTTCTGAAAATAAACTTTGAATTGAGSTTATGTTTAGTTGAAGGAGAAGCATTCACCTCTGAACTTGAAGTTCTACTTGGSGAGTGATAGCTACACTCTAATGGCATTACAATCATATTTCTTGAAATTTTGCAACCACATGATGCCAAGTCATAGGATTCAAGCAATTTGTCATAGTTTTCCTCCCTTTGTTTTTCATCAAATGAGTGATTGCTGATTCCATCRACAAATAATTTTCTCACTGCTGTTAGAAGATTCACGGACRATGACATAACAGTGTCATGCAAACTTTCTGCTGACCAATAAAATCTTTTAGATGCAAATTCATGCATAAAAACCTTCTTTATCAYGACGTGTAGGATATTGAGACAATCAGGGCAACAGTTAATCAAGCACATACTTGTAGGAAGACTAGAGGGACCAATTTTGGCTGAGGACAAGCTAAAATTTGGAGAATCCTGCTTTGAGCTGAAAAGAATTGGATTATTATTTAATACATATATGTCGTTAGGATGGAAATGAATTTAGTAAGTGAGAATTGAATAGTAGTAGTACCTTTGTAGTTCGTAAGCCCAGGCATAAACAGTATCTTCTAGAGATGCCACCTGAGATAAAATGGGTGCATATTGGAGTCYGTTTTTGCCAGCATTTACTTTTGCATTGATCTTTTCAACGAAGAGGCTAAGAACGACTCGAACATCAGAGCACACTTGTTGTAGTGATGTATAAACACCTCTGGTTGCCATCAAACCAATAGAAACCAAGCCTTTTACCATACCATAATTTTCTTCAGTTTCAACGGTATCCATAGAGCTAGTTTGATGGAGTACACAAGGGTTGAATTGCCAACCCTCCCAATGAGATTTACTTATGTTTGCTGATGGGCCTTCTTTCAACTTTGATGTTGCATGACAGAGCTCTGAATATGTAGAATTTTGTAGAATTTGATCTCCAAATTTAGATATTTCTTTGTCTTTTTGGTAATTAGATGAACGAGTCTKCTCTGAATGCASCTCATTCRCATTGACATGATATTTTTGRTGAATCAATAAAGCAAGTAATTTCACCATGTCTTTGGATAGTGTTGCTGCAGATCGATCGATCACGAGATCATGGTTGAAAGTCTCATCTATCTGAATGGAAAATCGWGGTATTTTGTGCTTTGATGCAACTAACCTCTTACAATCTGTTAAATCATTTAGAAAGAAAAGCCTTATTTCTTGAGGGAGTAGCAAAAATGGAACTTCAGATGTAGCCTACACAAGGAAAATAATAACCAAAATGATTATAGGAAAAAAAAAATTTAACAACAAAGAGCAAACATTTATATAGGTAGTTCACTTACCCTTGAGTTGTGTTCATAACAGCTAGAAACATATATGAAAGAATGTATAAAAGTAGGTAAATTAAAAAGTGATGAGCAGAGAAGAGAGAATGACGGGTCATTAGTTAAATACCAGAAATATAAMGGGTGTACAAAGAGAGAGAGACTCCACTTGGTAAATAAATAAAGTCCAAGCACTTGAGGCTCTGTGGACTATAGCCTTTCTGATACATTGTTCATCTGTTGGATGAGTATTATCATGCTCCAAGGTTTGATCTTCATGCGTCTCAAGAGCCCATAAATCGATTCTTGGCATGAATATTAAGCATGGCCCCCTACTTAAACAATTAGCTGTCATGTAAGTAAAGGAAACTATCAACAATTTAATTATTTCAATATTAAAAAAACCAATATGATCTTTCCAATCGTCTCTCTTCATATTCCCCTAGTATAATTTGTATGAATTGAGAGGCTTTTTTATCTCCTTTGTAGCTTTGTAGTTTTGTTCTCTGTTCTACATTTTATTTATTGTTTTTCTCTTTCACTCCTTTAGGAGTTTGTATCTTTGAAGTTTGAACAATTTTGTTCCTTTTCATCTATCAAGTTCGTATCTTGTTAAAAAAAAAAAATATGATAATGATATAATAGAGATGGGGCATACCTAAGGTGTGTGATATGCCTTGCTCTAAATTGTTATATCCTTGGGAAGTTGTAGCCATATCAACTTTTCTTATTTCAACATGTCCAACAAAGCAGTTAAGTATGCATGAAGCAAGATGCCTTTGCCCCAAACTTGGATTTCCAGCAATCATAATGCGAAATCCTTGACTATTTCCCAAGTCAAATGATGTGTACTTTGCATTGTCTTCTGGGATAGATTCGTATGAATTAGCCAAGCATGAATGTTCTAGTATATTGGTTCTACAATCTTGCCATTTTCTCTCAATTTCATCCGCAATATCATCTTCTTGAATAAAATCATCAACATGGGACCACCACTTATTGCTGTTCAYTGTCTTTCTTTCCAGGGCAGAAAGCATCACATTTTCAATTATGGCAGCGGCTTTGGAAAGAGTTTGAGGCAAGCATATGCATTTTTCCAAATAAAGTGAAACAAGTAGGATTGAGAGTGGTCGAATGAGACAGGGGATAAGGTGGGAAGGAAGAGGAGACGATACCACATCATTTGCCGCCATTGTTGCTTCTCTACGGGAGCATGGAGGTGGACAACTTGATAAAGCCTCTAACCAATCTCTCTCCTCTACTATAACGGGTGGAAGATGAGTTGGAGGGCCATATTTAGTATCTTTGGAAGCATGTAAGACTTGCTTTAATGGAAAAGTTCTTTTCAAAGCAATGATGGCTGTTTGAGTACATAGAGCCTGAAGATCAGCACCTGCAAAGCCTAAAGTTTTTCTTGCAATCCATTGGAGCAGAGGTCCATTGGACTCGAGTGTTTTTGGCCACTTGTGGGTGTAAAGTTTGAGAATCGAAATCCTATCCTCAAGTGATGGGAGAGGAAAATATATTTCTCGATCAAATCTTCCTGGCCTCCTTAAAGCAGGATCAATAGCATCTGGACGATTTGTTGCGCCTATCACCACCRCAGAACCACGAGATTTCAGACCGTCTAATAAAGCAAGTAATGTTGAAACAACAGAAGTATGGGTTTGGTCTTGTTTCCTTGTTCGACAAGGTGCCAGTCCATCTATCTCATCGAAGAATATGATGGAAGGCTGACAATCCTGTGCAACTTGAAATAGACGTCTTAGTAGTTGCTCTGAGTCGCCAACATACTTTCCTAAACAATCAGCTCCTTTACGTGAAAAGTATGCAATTYTCTTGTTGCCACGAGCACAAGAACCAACCAAGGCTCGCACGACATGTGTTTTACCCGTTCCAGGATATCCATGGAGGAGAACACCTCTAGGTGGCACAATACCAAGGCCTTCAAAGAACTCAGGGTACAACAAAGGTAACACTACAACTTCCTTCATGCATTCAATCACATGTTGAAGGCCAGCAACAGATTCCCAACCTGCTGACATATGTGACTCCTCTTTCTCACCTTCCCCACCAATGTATGTTGGTGTAATTTTTCGGAATTCTTGATTAGATTTTTTGCTGTTCTGCTTTGAAAACTCTTCATTTCCCCCTCCATCATCTGTCTGAGTATCCTCATGACGAGCATGGTTTGATGTTTCTAACTTTTCTTTTCTGGCTCTCAACTTGATCTTATCAGAATTCGAATCATCACGAGGGTGGTGGAAGATATGAAGATGATCCGGGCAGGCGATGAGAAATTGTTTGTGATAAAATTTGCAACCATTAGAACGTGCACAAGCCTACAGAAAAAGAAGATCCTAATGAGATCAGATAATGGTAAGAAGTTTATTATTATTGAATATAGGTAGTTAAAAGTATACCAAATGGTATGTTTTTTGACATTCTTTAATTCGACATCCAAGCGTTGCACCACGCCTCTTACAATGGCTACATTTGAGGGATTTACCTCTGTTTAGAGCAGCCTTCACATCTCGTAGGCGTCCTGTTTCATCGACGTAAACCTGCATTGCATGTAAAAGTAAAACAGTAAAATTAAAAGTAAGAGTGAAATAAGTATTAAGTAGTGATATGGTAAGGAAAATGATTACCTCTGGACTCCAAATTATGCATTGATAATGGACCCATAGCCTTGGAATGGAATTAGAATCAGTGAAAGGGCCTAAAAGACGACCAAGCCATCCGTCTTCATCGCCAAATCCATCATTATCATTATCATCATGATCATGATTATGATTATGATGGGAATTAGCAGCTAATTTTGCTTTTCCCCCACACAAAACGCAATGTCTCCAACTGCTCTCTTCTGCTTCAACTTCTTCATTTTGTTCCTTTTCTGATCTTTTAGTTTTCATTTTGCGTTTGGAACCCAATTTCAGTGCTCCCCTGCTCTCCTCTCTATCATCACTTTTATGTTTCCGCTTCATTCTACACCAATCACTCCTTTTTTTTCCTCAAATATATTAACAGTTATCGTATATTAACTAATTGAGATATGTTGCTGCATGGATTAATTCTAGTTATCAATAATTTCCTGATCTTAACTTGGTTGGTTAAGGTATTTATTTCCAACTAAGAGGTCGTGAGTTCAAATTCTCATTCTAAATGTTGTCCTAAAAGAAAAAACCGGTAGTTTTAATAATTTCTTTTAAACTATAGTTTCATAAACTTATTGGAAATTTGGCCGCCAAAAATATGTTTTCTAATTCYGCACATATGGACCGTAATGCAACTAAAATTTTCTAYGAATGAGTTTTCATGTCATTGTACAAACAACTGAATGAAAATGACTGTCTTAAAAAAAGAATGAMAATAACAAGTCTTAATTGTTTAGGAAAAGAGAACTAACCGTAACACAATTGTTATTCGTTAACACARGTTGAAGGCAAGAATGAAACCCTAATAACAGAATGGTATGCTCTGCAATTTAAAAGTTATGTATTAATAGGTTTCATGAGGGACTCTTTCAATGAATATAAGGAAAGAAAAATTAAAGCTTAGATTTCATATACCAAAATCTGAGTACAGAACTACGAAAGGAAAAAAAAAATGAGATTCTATAATGTTTACACAAATATACGTCTCCAAAACCAAAAGCTCCAAAGTAATATTTGTGGAAAGAAGGGAAGACTAGGGGAAAGTTTTGTAAAATTGGAAATAAAGCCATCCAAGTTTAATTCAATTGCATTAGAAAAAGAAAATGATTCTTGATACTATTAAGTAGAAATTTGGGGAATACTAATATTGTTACAATTGACAAATCAATTTAGTTGATTTGAATTAGTTTGGATGTTCGTTTTACAAAAAAAGGATAAAATGTGAGTAAAATTTAATCAAAATTACACCATACACAACATGAATATAATTCAACGGTAATTGACATCTATTTGTTGGAACTCCATATCCCCAATTTATAGTATTAAAAAAAAAATTATGTAATATATAACTTTGCAAACGATAAAGATTTTGTTAGACAATATCCCAATCTTAAAAAACAATAAAATTATAATAAATGCAAAACATTTGAGTCATAATGATACATATAAATTAGCAAGAAAATCTAAGTAACCATATATAACCAAATCTTTAAGATGCGTCTTTGGAGATTTAGGTATATTTTCCATTGCCGTTTTTTATTTTTTAAAATAAAAATTTAGTGAAACATGTAAGAATTTTAACATTTTTTTAGAAGTTCGTGTGTTTGTTTTTTTTCCCTTTTCTTTTAACTGCACTCTTACCGGCSATTTTTCTAATAAATGATATTATCATTTCTTAATATTTATAAAACATTTGATTGTAATTAAAGTAACTACGGCATACATTTTTAAATCAACGATAAAAAACCAGATTTTTTTTTTTAGAATACCTAAAACCTATATGAATGATTAAGGTCTTCCATTTTGTGTTTTGTTTTGTTTTTAAAATTAAGCCTATAAACTCGTATAGTATTWCTTTATTTTAATTATAATATTTACTTTTTAAAAATATAAGGCAAGCTTTAAAAACTAAAAAAATAATTTTTTAAAAAGAATTCATTACATAGATAATTTTTTTGACTAAGAATTCAATCGAAAGATTGAAAAAGACACAAACATAAAACTAACAAAAAAAAAAGAAAAAAAAAAGAAGAAAGGCTTATCAAAGTACGGATAGAATTAAAGAGCTGAACAAAAATGGTGGCTCCAAATAAAAAGTCATTGCAGAAATCTGCAGATGAATGGGTAAAAATCAAGAATGGCGAAAATACTCTTAAAAGATCTGCAATATATATAATAAGATAAATATGAGAAGTGGGGTGAAATAGAAAGTAGAAAACATTATGAAATAAATAAATAAATATATAAAGTAGAGTGTAGAGATGAGAAATATTTGATACCTGTTTCGACAAAACTCAGAGAAAAAGAGAAGAAGCCGACAGAGAGAGTTCTTTTTTCTTTTCTTTTTTAGTTTCAAAGAACAAAGTTTGCTAACATTTTAAGAATTTCATGAGTTCATATGGAAACTTCTTTTTTTCTTTCTTTCTTTTTTGAAACACCAAACTTTCCTTATTAGAATATCTTATTGCATTTGCATGTTAATAAATACATATTTCAACTCAATTACATCTCTAAATAGTAAATTCTAGAWTTAATTGTATTATTTTGTGCATTATTATTAAAAATTACGTAATACAACTTTTTTTTAAGTTACGTACATATATATATATATATATTTTAAGTTATGTAATATAATAAATTTATTGTAACTAATATATTAATAACAATCATTAATTTTTCTACGACCTTTAATTTATTGAGAATGTGGTCAAACTTATCTCTAAAAACAAAATAAAAAAATAAAAACAAAAACAAAAACAAAAAAATATAATCGATCCTTTTTTCTTCTTCAAATACGAAAACATGTTAGACTAGAGATTCGAATTTACACGCTTTTAATTAGAAATAAATGTACTATTGAATTAGGCTAGAGGTCGAGAATGTTAGTTGAATTTATGTCACTACRAAGTACACCGACTTATTACGTGTACTTTTTTAACATAAAATAATATGTAGATTTTTTGGCATAAAAATTATTATGTAGATTGCRTATTTGTAAGAATACAATAAATATTTTTAGTTCTTGTGTAAACAAGTAATATATCAGTTTTAAATTATACTTTTTCTAGAACTTAATTCCAACCCTATTAYAATGAGAAACACAAAATTAAAGATGTTCAAAAAATTTGATCAATCTATATTTCGATTGGGTTTGGTTTAAATTTATGAACTGAGTTCGTTCAAGAGTTTATTGGGATCACTACTAGARTTATTGGTTTTCGTGACGCTCATGAACAATATTTTACTATTGACCATTATAAAATAACGTCACGAAAGGTAAAAAACACTTTTTTAGAGGGAAAAAATGGAGATTTCTGGATTTTTTTACCTTCCGTGACGTTTTTTAACCGTCACTAAAAGATTGTCAAAAAGTTGGTTTTTTGTGACGTTTAAAAAACGTCACGAAAGGTTGAGGCGCGTTTTTGGCGGAAAACGACGRAGTGTTCCGAATTGTTGACTTTTCGTGATGTTTTTCTAACCGTCACAAAAAATGCRAAAGTAAATACGTTTTTCGTAACGTTTAATAAACGTCACGAAATGAAGAGGCACGTTTTTTGTGCGAAAAGACTTAGTTCTTCKGATTGYCGGCTTTTCGATGATGTGTAAAAAATTTYGCAAAAAGTAATTTTTGGTGATGTTTTTTACATGCCTTGAAATGAYAGGACCTTTTTTTTGGTGGGAAAACCGGATCTTTGGCTTTTCGTAACGTTTAAAATACATCACGAAAATATGAAAATTTAAACTTATGGTTGAAACTTAAAACACGTCAAGAAAAAKTGAGTTTTCYATAAGTGGGAAAACTATATTTTTATTGATGTTTAAAAACGTCATGAAATGGTGGAGCGATATTCTTTATAAGAAAACATGACGACTCACGAATTTGCCGCCATTTGTGATATTTTTTAAACTTCATGAGATTTTGAGCCGTGTTATTTTGCAAGAAAATGTGTCRAAAATTTGTGCTCACAATTTTTTTTGTTAATTTAGATTAACAAAAAGATCGTGAGTACAAACTTTCATGACGTGTGTTATTTAGCTATGTTATTTCTCGTGACGTATGTTATTTTAATTTTCATAACAAAAAAATTAAAATATAATCATCAATTGATGATTAAATTGACATTTTTTTAAAAATTTACGACAGCAAAACCAAAGACGAAAAAGAGAAATCACTATTAGAGGACCCTTAAATTTATAGATTTATAAAATAGATTTAAATCAAAATATTATTTAAATATTAACTCCCAAACAATTTTATATTTTATATTTTACTTTTCATTTTACCCATGTATAAAATTGTTCATAGATTTTTTTCTTCCATCCAAAAATTTAATTAATGTTACCATTTCAATACCAAGATTGCAATTTGGAGTTGCAAATCTTCGAAAAAAAAATACCATTTATTTTTTGAAATTTGTAAATTACAAAACATTGATAAAAAATAGAAAAAAAAAGAAATTAGTTAACAGTAATTTAATTGCAATTCTTTTAAACTAATTTGTTTAAATATTGAGACCCAAMTAATTACAATTTAATTTTTTTTACATCTTCATCCTACCTATATATTTTAATATCAAAATTTTTCATAGATTTTTTGGATTTCCTTCCATCCAACTGAAGTTAATGAATGCTCATAGATTACAAATATTGGAAAAAAGAAAATARAAATCTTTGTTGAAATATGTAAATTAAATTGAAATTAACTTAAAAATCTTTTAAGTGAAATTATTGGAATTTGAGCTAAGTAAATTGTGCATCATTAAAAATAAATATTATTTTATTATTCTATTMTGTATTCTCTAAAAATCTTTTACCCCTTTGAAAAAAATCTCCTTTACCCCATTAACCCTAAAKCTCTAACCATCCCTTTGTCTTCTCCACACTGACCACCACGACGCCGCAATCCCTAACCATCCCTTTGTCTTCTCGCACGCTGACCACCATGACGCCGCAGACCATCGCAAATCCTTGTCGAATCGCACGTTGTCGGAGGTTGAATCGAATGGCATCGGTTCAATGCAACACTAGTGAGGGTCGAATTGACGCTTCAACTGACAACGACGTCCGGACGATTTCAAAACCCCGACCACTGTTGACCCCAACGACCACTGCTTACCATCGCGAACACGGTTGAACACCTCGAACGCTGCTGATTACCGTGACCACCGCTGACCACCGCTGCTGTTCGTCAATCTTCGGGTACTACCCCTTCCTATTTTTCATTTTTCATTCTTATTCAGGTCAATCTTGTGAGGTTATACAATTTGAAGGTTGATGATTTTGTTAATCTTGCAATATTTTGGTAATTGATGTTTTCAACATTGAGATGAAATGTGTTTGGGGAAA